TTTTCTTTGTTTATTTACATTTCGATTTGTTTATTTACGTTTTTTCTTTGTTTATTTACATTTCGGTTTGTTCATTTACGTTTTTTCTTTGTTTATTTACATTTCGGTTTGTTTATTTACGTTTTTTTGTTTATGTACATTTTTTTTATTTATTTACATTCGGAATGAAAACGAACGAAATTTCGCAGATTTTTTTCAAATTTTCCTTATCCTAATGTTCCTTGCTCTAATTTTTGAAATTGTCAAGGAAAAAGGATCAGAGGGGATAGAGATCAAAGGTAAATGATAAAACTGCTGGATTTCTCTTAAAAGAATAATTTTATTCAATTATTTCAAATTACAATTTGATTTACAATACAATTTACAATTATTTATAAAAATTTTATCGTGCAATTGTTCTGTAGGAGTGCACTGAATGCAATTTCGAAAATTTTTACAGGTGCGCGTTTCACAGGTTAAAGAAAACATTAAAAGGAAGTTGATGATCCAATTTGGGAAGGATAATTGCGAAAGTTCGCAAATTAATTTGTTCAATTAGTTTTTTTTGCAATTGAAAATTTTATCGATTCATGGACATTGGGAATGCCAGCATCGCGTAACGGTGCAACGGTGGAATTAATCTCTATTTCTGTCCTTGTCGCACACTATCTCTTTCTTTGTCTGTCGCGCGCAGATATGTCCGTTCTTGTCGCACTATTGATCTCTTTGTCTGTCACACACGTATATATCCGTCTTTGTTGCATACTATTCCTCTCTTTGTTTGTGATACAAGTACTGCCATCTATTGAATTTTTCTAGTTTGCCCTTTTAGTTCCGATGGAAATTCGAGTGGCTCAGATGGCAGCACCATCCGTAGACAAGGAGAGCAACCTTGTGCAACAAGGACAGAGACAGAGGTTAGTTCACCGTTTCACCGTTACGCGGCGTTGGTATTTTAATATCCATAAGTCAATTAAATTTTCAATTGTAAAAAAAACTAATTAAGTGAATTAGTTTACGAACTTTGGCGATTGTACCCTCCTGTTTGGACCCCGACTTCATTTTATTTGAACCCTGAAATACATGTATAAATTTTATGTGACTTTTAAAATAAAAAGCCCTCTATGTTAGTTCTGATGTCTTTAAATTTCACATGGAGAATTTATTTGCTTACACACCCGAAGAGTATTCTGATAAAATTTGGCTATTAAAGCCTCAAGATATCCTGTGTGAAATTCATCATTGTCAATTTTTACTATTAACTCTATGAGCTATTCTCTAGTAGTTTTTTAAGCACTATTGGTTATATTGTATCCATTCAGCTTTGAACAGTTTCTGAGAAATGGCATGTTGTCAAAGTTACACTCCAGATTATTTTGCAATAACTGACATTTTATCAACAGAAGAGCGAATATCTTGTAAAATCGAGGTAGAACTACCTGAGTTAGGTAATCTCATTCATACTTTTTCATCGTATTCTCATGTGATTTATGTATCACATATTGTTACATGTCACATTGCATACAATGATTGATAGAAAGAATGTATAATGTTACTGATGACATAAATGTACTATGATTTAAGGTTTTCTGGATTCTTCCTGTCAGTCTGAAGACTTGAAAATAGGAGCAACAGTAGAATTTCCATTATGGCTAGCAGAACCATTGAAAAGCCTCCAAAATTCAATAGTCAGCGTTGATGTACCAAAAATATACAAGGAAGGATATAGGTTTGATTTTTCACTTTTATTTACATTTTTCAAAGGTATCTACCATATGTCTGTGCACACTGATCTGCATTATTTGTGTTTTATTAGAGAAATCTTGGAAGCAGATGCTGAAGTTATAGTTTTAAGTAAATGGAATCCGTTTTATTATGAGCTAGGGATGCATGTAAGAAAACTTAGTGACAGAGATTATGAAATAATCACAGAGAGCTTGTTACAGGTAAGTATATTACAGTGAAAATAAATACTATGCTTTTTCTTATTTCTCAATAGGGTACAATGCTTCAAAAAATTAAGTTTAAACACTTTTTATGCAGACATTTCTTATGAATATATCAGGCATAGTATTTTGAAGTTTCATTAAACATCATGTCGACGAGAATTAATTTCTATTTCGCCTAATATATTTATTAAAACATTGGGAATTTTTGTTTTCTTTATTTTCAGACATTCAAGTCTCGTTTCCAATTAGTTATGGATTGGTCTCAGAATGCAACGTCTGACCCTACATTATCAATTCAACTTCCTCGACTCGAGAGAGATCTTTTCCTTATTGGTCAACAAGCCAAGATTCGTCTTATGGAATGGTTAAAAATGGGCACAAACGAATTGGTTGTCTCTGAAATTACGACAAATTTGAAAAAACGAAAACGAGAGCAATACGAATTTGATTAGTATTTTTATTTTGCAAAAGCAAAAGTCCAAGGCTCTTCACCAAATTATTATATAATCTGATTGAAAATATCAACCATGTATAATGAAATGGATTATAACTTTTGAGAAAAATGTACAAAACATTTTATAATGTAACTTTTTTAAGTCATATTCAGAACGGACAAAGACATTATTTTATTGTAAAAAACTGCGAAATCTATTAATTTATCGAATATTGTAATAAAGATTCCTTTACTCGTTTATTTAAGATTTTCTTATAAAATTATTTTGAATGCAGCAAATTTAAATTGGCGAAATATTTTATCAAATTATATGTAGGAATAAATTAAATATCGTTAACGATTAAAACATGGATCACCTATATTTTTGGATTTTCTAAGTTAATTTAAACAGTAAAAATGACAATGTATTAAACAAATGCTTGGGTAGAAGAGTTGTGAATAAACATATATAAACTGTTATTAATTTTCTTTTTATTTAATCGATCTCCTTGTTTGCTAATCAAAGTACTATCATTTTTACTGATTTACAACTTGTGTATGAACATATACACATGCTATATAAAAAACTCTAGCTTTATTTTTATACATTATATTTTGCATTATGTCTATCAATGATGTTACAACTTATAATATTGCTATAATTAATTAATTACTTTATTGCTTATCCGGTCATAAATATGAAATTTAATAGAAGTCGCGAGGGCCATTTGGAATTAGTAACTTTGTGTTCTTGTGTTATTTTCTTTTTTTTACATAAAATACTTTTGATATAAATTGTTTTTTCCATACCATCGTCATATTTAATTTCATTGTCACAATTATTTTAATCTTGTGGTATAATTTGTAATCAACTTTAATTTTCAGTTTGTAATAAACTATTATTGAAGACCGTGCCTCCTTCTGACTTTTTAAATTTTCATATCACTATATCACTATATTTGTATTTTATTTTTAAATATAACAATTGTTTAAAGCAACCTCGTGTGGCATGAACTTTCAAATTTTATAAAAATGTTTTACAAAATAATAATTTTATGACAAATTTTATTCCAAATGTACATAGAATATATGAACAAAAATACGTGTACTTCTTCTCTAAAACAAAATTGCATTGCAATGTCGCATTCCTTTCTTCATTAACAGAGGTGTTAACTAACTTGATAATTAGTTTTGATTTTTTATATGGAATGTTATTTATTGTGCACAGAACCATTTGATGGTTTCACTACAAAAAATTTTTAAATATTCATTATTATCTTTTTATTATAAAGTTTCTAGAAAAATATTTCTCCAATATTGTCGTCGTGATGATATTTGGAAAAAATGTTAATGATGTACATATTTCATTCATTTCAAATAAATATCTGTATATTAAAATTGAAGATTCTGTGCACTGGTTGTAGAGAAATGATTCTACTTTAATTTAAGAGTTATTCAATATTAGAACCTAACAAAATTATGAATAAAAGATTGAAATCTTAATATGAAGAGAATGATTTAGAAACAAAAACATGTCAGATTTTAATATTAAATAACATTATGTGAATTAAAACATGTCTATATTAGTCCTTCATAAACAAGACTTAACTAAAGTATCTCTTATATGTTAAACGAATGAACATAATATTAAGGTGCATGTATTTAGTAAGTCTAAAATTTCTTATCCGACTGGCAAAAGTAAAGAATATTGCCATTGTAATAAAATTCTAAATATAATTAGAACAAATTTATTTACGAAAATCATATACTTTATATTGGCACATTTTCTAAAGGTATTAGATTTTTGAAATAATGATTATTTTGTACCCTGATCTTTGTAGATGACATTAAAATTTCAATAAAAATTAACATGTATATCAAACATAACTTATTCTTACAAAATACTATGTACAATATTTAGAATCATGTTGCCCTCGCTTACATGAATATTTGGTGAATGCGATACAAAAAAATATTCGATATTGCACATTGTCTAATATCGTTTTGAAGAGATGTAATGTAATATTTAATTTATAAAAGCATTTATAAAAATAATTATTATCATCATAATTAACGTGTACATATAATACAATGCATGTTTTATATATAACATGAATAACAAGATATTTTATTGCGGTAACAAAAATATTCTCTGTAGGAATATATTATAAATAATATAATTAATAAACCCTTTGTATAAATAACAATGCGCTTATCTCCTATGAATATAACAATTAAAATTGCATTTAGTGATCGGTCGTTTATGTAATTGTATAAAACTGGATCCAATTAAACAAAAGATCTATTTCTGGAGTTAAAAATAAAAAATAAAAAATAGACAAAGATGATGAAACAGAGTTAAAATTATACAAACCTGAATAATTATATACATACATTTTTACATATCTTTTTTCTATTTTTATTTTAGTAGTAAATGTACCCCTTAAGTCGAAGATCATTTGTTTAATTTCGTTATTTAGAAAATATGATTATTAAATATTATGCAATAAGTAAATTAATGTCATTATGTATTTAGATTAAGTTTCTAGTAACAGAAATATTTTACCATTAAATACCAACCAATTTTGATTGAGACTTACGATTAAGATGATTAAAATGATTAATTGAGCAATTGATTGAGCACGACTTTTTTTTACTCAATAATCAGAAATTTGATTATCAATTCTGATAGTTCTTTAGCCTAAGTTTGAAAAATGTCGTCAAATTACAAACAAGATTGCACAATGAATATGAACGTGTGATGGTCGATAAAACTTTTTAAACATTAAGTTGCACCATTTTAAAACACAGCAAATTTATTTATAAACGTAGCGTATGAATAGAAAAACATGTTTCGTTTGTATATTTGTATATTTAGTGGGGATTATCACTAGCATTTAAAAATTGTTCAAAAAGATTACCAGAGATCGTTAGAAAAATCTGAGTTTCACGTCGCAAAATTGATAGAGATTTAAGAAATTCATTCTTATTCTTGGGATCTCCTAAGAATTTCGACACTTTCCCAAAAATCTTATCGTGTCTTTCGAGATCTTTAAAAACAGTTTGAAGACAGTCTTACATTTCATGCACCATCTTCTTTTGATTCGTTCAAATATCGCAAGTATTCGAAAAAAAAAAAGAAAAACAAAATCGATTAGAATTATTTTTAAAAATTAACGAATTCCTGTATACAGTATTAATTTTGGTTTTGAAAAATGTATTTGAAGTGTATTAGAAATAATTTGACGTTTGTATAATTATCCTTTGTTCTTCCTTTCGCAATATTTGTCTTTCATTTGAAGATCTGAAAATCAAAGGAAGATCCTGATTTTCGTGACACTTAAAAGATCATAAAAACCTTTCAACATTCTTTCATGATATTTTATGTTCTTCTACAGATACTTTAGAGTTTATTCGTCAGTAATTACCCATTCTGCTAATAAATGCACCAGAATTTTCCAACTTCAATGTCATTAGACATTGTTAAAAAGTTGATTCACTTTCAAGACTGGGCTCCTGCTTGAACATTCTGAATCCGGTAACACTAGTCACGTCTTCCTGACTCTGAATGGAAGTAAGATCTCTTAAAATCATAACGGGACTTCCACCAGTCAGCATATGATCCTGAGGGCTTAACGGAGCCATGTTGGTTGGTGTCAAAGGGCTGCTAGGGCTCTCGTTGCTGCTCACATAACTACCAGGGGCATTTGAAATTGGAATTGGAGTGGTAACACCGTTTATCTCCCCAGTTGCACCACCCAGGAGCATCTCCTGCAGTAAATTGTCAATGTGTGCAACTCCAAATAGCCTGACAAACTGGATTTGTTCGATCATCTGCCAGGAGATGGACTGTAGAGCTGGTAGTGTCAGGAGAATCTCGCCAAATCGACCACGACTGTCATATTGCCGGTCACTTATGTAATCCTCCAAGTTGATTTGAATTTGGTAACGCAGTTGCTTGATCCGTTGTGGTTCGCTCAGGCCTTTTGCATCTATCAGCAACAGAGAAAAGATTCCTTTGAATTGAGAATGATATTAATTGATTAATGGAGGTTCATGATATTAATATAATATGATATTATATATATAATATTATATTAATATAATATGTTAATATAATTAATATAATTAATATTGTTAATATAATTAATATAATATGATATTAATATCATAATAAAGTAAGTTGAAAATGATCAGTTTTCTAAATCAGACATTTGAATGTCAAAATTTTTAAATTTGTACAAAGACAATCCCTTACACAGGACGGTGAAAAATTTCCATCAGTCAGTATAAAACAAACGAACGAAGAATAAAAAATATTGCATTCAATGTTGCTTTAAAAGAAAATAAATCAAAATATCCCTTGGGATTGGGAAAATCTTCCTTACACGAACAAATATAGGGCAACAAAAGCGATGAAAGTGGGAATAAATTACAAGCGAGCCACACCAGTGGATCAGAGGTAAAGATGAAAAAGCAGAACAGGCCTTGCACTCGCTTGCAATTTGTTTCGGCATGGCGACGATGACCGCGCCGATCATCAATTAAATCTCATTGAGACAATCGTTCTCGCGTGCCGGCAAATCTTCGCCGAATGACACGCAAATTCTACGTTGTTCTTCGACTTGACATAATCAATGGGATATTACCAAAGATTATCTGGTTGAAAGAAGTTCAATCGACTATCCGGTCTTGTTCTTTGTCTCTTTCACTAGAATTACCAATTTTTTAGTTTAATTATCACTAGAATTATTAATTCACTAGAATTACCAATTTTTTAGTTTAATTATCAAATTTCAATTATAATGCATAAAAATTAACTCCAATAGTAAAAAAAGAAAGTACATTTCCAAGAATTACACGTATTTCCTTTTTTTTTCTTTTTTTTTTTGAAGAAGAAAAATGCAAGTAAAAGATTCCTGAAGTTTATATCCATAAGACCATTCTCTCCTACAATTAAACATTATTGTGTGAGTTTAACAAGTTACTAATATCTCAATAAATTGAAATGTTTGTTAAGTTTTTATAAGATTAAATTTTAAATATGGACATATTTAAAATAATTGATATGTAGTGTTTATTTATATTAAATGGAATGAAAAGCTTCATATGAAGAGAAAAAAAGAGTTTCATTTATTAATATGTAGAAGGAGTTAATGGTGACAAATGGTGATTTTAATGGGGGAACAAGTGAGTGAAAATAAACAAAGGGATCGAATAATGGAAGATCATATAAATAATAAGAAACGAATGACAACTTCTAATTTCTTGAAATAATAAATGTTGCACCACACAGAAGAATTCCATGCCCTTAAAATGCAATAAGAATATGTGAAATGTGTTCATGCTATATTCATATCATTCAGATCTTAGAGATAATGTAATTAAGTCTACATTTGTCTGTATTATTTGAATTATACGAGAATACTTACTGGGATCGAAAAAGACGATGGCCTTCAAGCAAGCAAACTCTGTATCATCTATCTGCACCTCGTTCAAAGGCTTAACCAGTTCGTCCATCACTCTGATTCCAACTTTGCTGATGTCCAGATCCTGATTACGTCCCTCTGCGGATAACGATATGACTGATAAACACGGTTAAGCCATTCCTATCAACACCTACTACCATTTGACTGAGCCCGGATTACAGTTGGTGAAGTATTAAGAAAAGCTGTGAAATCCGAATTGAACCTTTGTCTGCACTCATGCTACTGCAACTAGCAACGTGAAGGCCGGACTCAGTCTACTAGCTACTACCCCAAAACACATTGGTCGTGCAATTTATTCAACGAGACTATCGATAGTTTATAGTTTATAACAAATATCTGAATAATGGTCTTGAAGAGTGAAAATAATAATATACCTTTTTTTTTTTAAGAGGAGGATAATAAATCATTGTTTTCTTTTGTGTTGGTAGAGAAAGTAGAGAAGAAAATCAATAATTTCAATTGACAATTAAGTATTAAAAGAATAGTTCCTTGAATGTTGAACTTACATTTCATCACAAATAATCAACATACCGATTGTCTCATTTCACCATGTCAATACCATTTTTGATGTTAGGTACATGTTTATTTCTCACAAAACTTAGACAGAGATAAATTGTTCTTAATCTCTAATGACATGAAAAGTGATTCATCATGCAACAGTTATCTACATGCTATATTTTTTTCTCACCTATATTTTCCTATAGTTATGCCAGACCTGTTTTATACGAAATTATTGTTAAGAGAATTTACTGATCCAAAGTACATTTTACATTTTGCTTAGAATAATTATTTTGTATTCGGCTACAAGTCAGAAAATTGCAGAAATTAAAAGAACGTTAGTTTAGCGGTATTTTCACTTTAGTAGCTGCTTGCAACTTGCCCAAGATGTTGGATTTTTAAGAACAGTTAATCTTCATCTCTATCTTATTATTTCATAATTTCATAATCATAAACATAAACTGAAAAATATTTTTCTTCGCTTTCTAAAAATACTTTGTAAAATACTTTCTATCAAATATATTTATAAATATACACCATAAGAAAGTTTTTGATACATTGGAGAATGAATTGTAAAAATATAAATTTCAAAAACAAGATTCAAAATAAATTTGGTGGAAAACAATTTTGAAGTACCTGAGATAAAGACTATAATGACTATAAGATTAATGTGTTATTGCAAATTTAGGATAATTTAACAATAAAGTTGACAGAAAAGTTATGACAAGATTGTGAAAATTTAACGAAAATATATGTTTTTAATTAAATAATACCGTACTATGTTCTCAAACGCTTTCTTAAAACGTGATTTGTTCTTATCACTCCCAGATTAGCAATCTATTGAAATCTTATCTGTCGATGACATCAACAGATGGAATAATGCGATGATATCTTTATTATGTGTCGGGATAATAATATTTTCAGCTGTTTCATGCCAAACTGATATCGAGAACAGCTATGAAGAAAAATATTTTGATGCGATAATCAATTATTGATAAGGTTGTTGAGCGAAAAATTCTCCCTCAATTTCTTTCCTGAAACTTGATAATTTTCTGCAAATAAAATTTACAAGAATCTTTCACTTTTTACTCGTTACCAAGTTATTTGTTAAATTGCATTATCATGTGATTATCTCGTTCAAAGATATAAAAATTCTCATGGATCTTTAAATTTAGAAATCAAGGTGAAGCCCAAGGACGTTACGTTTCAATGAATCAGAATTATAGAAGATTATAGACTCTAATGACGTCTATAATCATTAGTGGTTGAATGACGTACTGTTCAAATGAGGTAGAAAATATTTGACGCATGAATAGAAGCATTTATTTTATCAACTAAAACAGTTATACAGAGATATAAAGATATAATTTAGTACTATAGATCCTATGCTATACTGATAATAGTGAAAGAACAGTTGGTAACTGTTTTGGAGAATCTTATTTATATTTTAATCTGATTGTATGTATTTATGAGATAGTATATAAATATGTATATTATTATACAAGCTATGTGTGTATTTATGAGATAGTATATATTTATATAAATATGTATATTATTGTACAAGCTGTATTGCCAAAAATTGCAAAGCTATGCGATCAGTAAGATAAATTAGTAAATGAATGTGTTTAAATGAATTTAATTGAACCAGTTTCATTGTTAACAATTTCAGGTTAGTCTATGTAACATAATCCATCAATCCCTTGATGATAATCTTCCTTATTTATAGAAGTTTTATTTGTGGAAGTTTTTGTTAGATAATTATCAACTTATTGAATATCCTAATTCAATTTTCATTATCATCAAAGGATCATAACGAAACACTAAACCAACACCCAAGAAGGAATCACAGAATAACATACCAGGACAATTCTTCGTTATGATACAGTTGTTCCCAAGAAGAAGAACATCTTGCAGTTGCATGCTACGCCTGGCAACGCCTAGAAGAAGATGTTCACCCGCATGTGCTCTAAGCAGTGCCACTTGATCATCAAGGGTTAATTCGCTGAAAGCGGGTATATACTTGGCCCATTCGACCAGGATCAGAAGTTGCTGTTTCATACTGTCGCAAACATCATTTATATTGGCGATCTGTTTCGTGCTCAGGTCGATATCGCTGCTCGGACTGCCTAGCTGTTTAAACATAATCTCGAATTACTTATTGCACGATTCATCGAACATACATCTAATGATTTAAAGGAAGGCACATAATTTGCAAAAATATATAAAATGCATAATATAATATTTTTTACAATATTTAATAGATAACAATTTTTCTTGCCTCTTTAATATAATTATATGTATTATAATGTAATATAATTATTTTTCAACTGATCGGTAAAGTTGCTTATTCAATGTGAAATCCCATTCGTCTTTGAACAGTTCATACAGACTGACCTCAAGAGCAGCACCAACTTGTCTGCTGAGCATTTCCGCCTGAAGAAGAGAAACGACAGAAAGTCCACTTCCGTTGTTGCTCTGCTCTTCGTAGCTTGGTCTTCTACAGCTTATCCGATCTCTTTCATTTTGTACAGCTGGAACAAAATACGAAAATAAAAAAATTCATTTCAGTTTGACGATGGTAAATTTACTTTGTGTCATTAGTTCAGCATATTTTCTGTAATTTTTTTTTTTTTTTTTTATTCGTTCATGCACACGTTGTTGTTGCACATGTATTATAAATAAATTCATTATAAATTTTCGAGAAAAAATTCAATACATATCATAAAGAAATTAAATGCTTCAGGATTAATGTTAATCTTAACAAAAAATTACTACATAAATAACTAAGTAATTCCTTTACTGATAAAACTGGCTTCTACGCTTATTACTCCACAGAGGTGGAAAGTATATGGATTGTTAATTAACGACTCAAGGTAAAACGTCTAATCTCCTAAAAAAGGGATAAAGTATTGAATGATTATTATAATCTTCCACAAATGACATCAGAAACGTGAAAGATCTTGAAAGGCCTTAAATTGTATCTTTTTTTAAATTAAGTGTACATGTTTTTCTATGATTTCTTTTTATCAGTAATATGCAAGAGTGCTTAAAAAGAAACGCTTTCATTATTGAAAATGGAAAAGATTGAAGGAATTTTAATTTTGCTCACCTTCCTTTTTCATGCCAGCCTTGAAACATTTCCTTAATCTGCAGTATCTACATTGATTTCTCTTGTCTTTGTCTACTACACAATTTCTATTAAATCTGCAACAAAAAGGATATATATTCTCAGCTATCACTATTGAAGAAATTTCAAAAAAAAGTAAAGATCTATGTATCATTAATAAGACATTACATAAGAACACGCAGATCGCAGAGGTTATCAGTCATAAAGGTCATCAAAAAAATGTTAACGCTACAATTATCTAAAAAATTTCTAATCTCTTATCAGTGTGATTTTCGATAATTGAGACGTATGTTATCTAAGCTTCAAGATTTCAAATAAAATTCTTTCAATTAAAATGATGAAATTACATTTTCAAATAAGTCCCTATCTCAGTTGATATTTAAAAATCAAATTGCCACAATCTATTACAGTAAACATAACTACCTAATTTCTGAAAAAAATAATTCGATGCATATCAGGAATGGAAAATAATTTATCTAGGAAGTCCTGACTTCCTGACTACTGACGTTATTCATTCTCATACGTTTTTATATTCATATTCATTTCAATAAGACATTTGTACATATAAAATTCCAAAAATAATACTAATTTCGTTTACTGACGTGTTTGTAGGAAAGTTTCATTACTAAAGAAACGCAAGTGTGTTATCGATTATCACGAAAATCCATTAGTCATAGACATTCCTCAAACAAAAGATACAGCTTCTAAAAATAAAGAAAAAAATATTTAACTTCTAAATGTAGATACGAGAAACAAATAAATCATGGATATTTTCGCAAGTTACAAAAGTGAAACAATTAGAGAGTAATTTATATGTTTCGCACAGTTTGTTTTACCTCTTACTTTTATTTACTATTGCACGAGGCTAATATCATTTATAATTGTGTCTCTCATGCACATTAAATAAATAAAATTTATTTTTCTACTATATTTTTTTAAATAGGCGAATGTTAATAAAACGCTATACTCTTTTGCATTATGCACGCTTCAAACTGCGCGGTAACCGGCGCAGTAGTCGGCGCAGTAATCGGCGCAGTAGTACCATTTAACGCGATAGGGGGATGGAGAAATTTTAAAATTCTAAAGGAATTACAGTTTTAAAATCTACTTAAAGACGAATAATTTTTTTCTTAGAATTACAGATCAAACCAGAGTGAGAAGAAAGAATGAAGACGTAACAATGAAATTAGCATTACGTGCAATTTTTGTAGTAGTCTATTTATTTGAATTTCGTATATTGAAACAAGGTTTCAGTCAATGTTTAAATTCACATGCCTGAACATTAATGAAAAATAATTAGTGGCTGAAAATTGGTGAGTTCTTGTATAAAATCAGTGAGTTTCAAATTATAGCAAGCTGATCGTCTCTCGACGAGTTCAGACGAAGTTCCAGCGTATTGCAAACGATGAAGGTTTAATTTGACAGAGGAGAGGAAGAATTTTACCAACCTGCAGGTGTAGAGATGATTCTTTCTAACCGATCGTCGGAAAAAGCCTTTGCACCCGTCGCAAGATGCAGCGCCATAATGCTTCCCAGTTGCGCGGTCACCGCAGATCGCGCAATGCTGCGAAAGCACGCCACCTACCCCTGATCCTGGCAAACTGAGGACCGAACCCCCAGCTGCGCCTGCGCCCATGCTCAGGTCGGCATCTGCACAAAACGAATTTTCATTTTTGTTAATCTTCTATGGGGCGAAATTATCTTTCTTGGCTGTGAAAAAAATTTATATAACGTAAAACCAACAAATTACAGCCTATACTACAGTGTTCATTTAACAATGAATTCGGCAGTTTCGAAAATTTTATTACAACGAATAATAAGACTGACATTTCAGGATAGATGTGACAACTGTTGTCAAGAATGTTGCACTTAATAAGACAATTACATTGTACAACAAGACGCCATCTTGCGGGGAAAAGTTCAATTATTTAACAAAATATCGATATATTAGTATGTGACTTGGAAATAACACGGGGTTCATTTGAAATTTAGCGGGAAAATTGATCGAATCTTTCTTCAACGCTGAATCATCGTATATACTATCTATTCAAATAATCTACCAGCTGTTTATCATTTTCTATTTGCTTCGTTACTATTCTCTATCTACTTACACACATTTATCGCAGTCAGCTTACGTATTTTCCACAAAAGTGAATTGTATTTACCTATGTAAAGGTACCGAAATGCAGTAGGTTTAGGTTAGGTTTTCAGTCTTAAAAAATAAAATTGCTTTATTTTTACTTCCTGTCGAATGTACGATAAAAACGTACGTAATTTGCGCGGTTCCCCAGGATTATAAGTTACGCACTATTAATTTAGACTTTCGATTCACTATTAATTTAGATTAAAAAAAGTTGACTTTCCTTTTGGTATAAACATTGACGTCAAACACTCGAAATATATAACCGAGTGAAATCACAGGTGAAATAACTGTAACATAAATTAAATTCAAACCAGAAAGTTAACTGCAAGCTACAAATGATCTATTTTGAAGCGAATTGACAAACAGATAGCCACTATCGTGGCTCTACAGATTGCCAATTCAGCCATTTGTCTAGAAATATCTTCCCAGATGAATGACGAAACTAATGCTACATAATATATAAGGATCCAAAGTTATCGATATAATAAGGATTACAAAGTTATCGATAAACATCGATAAACGCACTATTTTTATTTTATTCGTTTAAACCAACGAACCTCGAACGAGGATTTTTTTTGAATATCGATTCAATGCCGATATTAACGAATAGCAAACGAGCTATATTCGAGGGGATGGGACAAAATCGGAATTTCATTTCGAGAATGAGGGTTATTTCGTTATCAGCTCGAGACATATAAATAACGATATTTCGATGATAAAGAACGTTGATATGTCTCTTTTCTATTACAGTTCCTTCATGAAACTTCTGCTAGTAATAAACCTACTGATAAGTCGCGTTCTTTATCAATCACTCACACGAACGTGTACGTGTGTACAGTACGATACATTCGTTGTCTTCTCGAGGACATTCGTAGAAGAAATAATTATAATCAGCCATACATAAATCTACGACAGAAGGCAATTTGTGAACGTAATAGTCACAAATTCACGAAACTTATTTAGACTTTCCAAATCGTTCTTCTTGTTCCTGCTGATATCGAGAGAAAATGGACGAAGGAAACAGTGATCAGATGGAATAAGAGTCAAGTAGTCAAACATTTGAAGTACGAACAATACGAGAGATGT